CTTGCTGTCAAAAGTGACACCCAGGAATTTAGCTGATTGGAGGATTTGGATATTATGCTCTTGAAGGAGGAGAGAAATATTAGTTTTCTGTTTGTGAAGAGGATCGCTATCGTTTAGGGATGAGAGAGCTTGAAGCCCCATTTTCCGCACCAGGAAAGGATATTGTTGAGATTTTTTGGATTTTCTTTTGAATGAATGGGATGTTTCTGTTTGACTTCCAGATCGCTATATCGTCGGCATATTGGGACATGTGAACATCAGGTATTCGGTGGGAAAGATCGTTAACGGCAATATTGAACAAAAGGGGGCTGCTGACACTGCCTTGAGGGATGCCATTTTCTTGAGTTCTTTCTGTGGAGAGGGTGTCATTAGTTTTCACTTGAATTTTCCTGTCGCTGAGGAAGTTGTCCATCCAGCAGGTAACTCGACCATATATGCCCATGGCTTGAAGTTTGATGATGACCCCTTTGTGCCATAGCATGTCGTAGGCCTTTTCAACGTCTAGGAAAACCGCAAGGGTGCTTTCTTTGTTTGCCCGGGCTTTATTGATAGATGACCTCAGATTGATAATGCGGCCTTTGGTGCTGCTGCCTTTTCTGAATCCACTCTGTTGTTGACTGAAAAAATCATTTGTTTCAATGTACCAGAGAAGACGGCAATTAACCATTCGTTCCATCAATTTATATAAGGTGGTGGTGAGGGCTATACATGTACATGTAGGTTGGTAGGATGAAGGGTTGGCCGGATCTTTCCCTGGTTTGAGGATAGGAATGAGAATAGTTTCTTTCCACTGCATGGGACATTGGGAAGTGTGCCAAATCATATTGAAGATAATAAGCAGGTATTCACAAACTTTGACGGGGAGATGTTTGATGACCATGTTACTAATTCCGTCTTTACCAGGGGTGGTGCACTTAGAAGCATCGATGGCATGGTTTACCTCATCAATGTTAAAAGGCTCATTAATAACACTGTCATTGCTGTTATTAAGTTGGATTTTATTTTCAGCATCTTGTTTAGTATTGATGAAGGAGGGGTTGTAATTGCTAGTACTACTTATTTTGGTGAAGTTGTCGAGAAGTGCCTCTGCTTTATCTTTTTCTGTGATAGCATCGACACCATTGTAGTGGACATCTGGAAGTTTTCTTCTGGGTTGAGTCGATCTTTTTTACCTTGTTCCAGATGAGTTTAGTATTAGTTTTAGTTGTAAGGTTGCTGCAAAATTTCTCCCAGTCGTTCCTTTTGGCAGTCTTGATGGTTTTCTTAGCGATTGCACAAGCCCGTTTGCAGGTTATTAAGTCGGACGGAAGCCTGGTTTTCCTTACTTTTTTTTCAAAGCCTCCTTTTTCTCCTCAATGGCTCTTTTACAGTCTTCATTCCACCAAGAAGTAGGCGATTTATGATGATAAGGGTCTGTTTTAGGAATAGAGTTGGTCATGGCAAGGTCAAGATAATGTATGAAATTGTTATATACATCATCGATGTTAGCTGAGTCATATGGTTTATTGATAAGTCGATTGCATTCATCTTCAAATTTTCCCAGTCAGCTTTTTTCAATGACCATCTGGGTGGTTTATTGGAAGGGCTTTTGTAGATGCGATGATTGACTTTGATGAGAATTGGGCAATGGTTGCTTCCCCAGGTGTCATCGAGTACTGTCCAGTCACATTTGGCGGCTATGCAAGGAGAAGCTAGAGTAATATCACTGCAGTGTGAGCAATGAGATGAGTTAATCCTAGTTCCTTCTCCGGTATTAAGGCAAACCATGTTGTTATTGGATATAACGTCAAGGATTTGCCCATTGTGGTAAAGTATAGAACTGCCACTTTACACGCTAATTCCCATGGAGCGTCAACATGAACAATTGGAATTTAGTGTTTCACGAACTGACGTATCTCCGTATCTGGCACACGGCCACTATTACGGCGTTGTATGACATTCGATAAACACGATAAAAATCTGTTTCACCAAGTGATGAATAACTTTTAGAAATGAATTTCGCAAAAACTAAGCAACTCGGATGCACACGGATTGCATACAATAAAGTTCAATCTATAATTTGCTAGCAAAAACGAAACAGCTTGAATTCTTACACGGGGAGTCTATGGAATGAGCCTACAAAATAATGACCAACTTTAAATTGGTTTTTCTTGAAACACAAAAAATGCGTGATACGTCAGTTCGCGGTGCAACCGACGAAATGATCGAATACGATCGAGGTGTGTAATGACATAATGGCTGATCCTCATGGGCCTCGCGAGGGAGGGGGCAAGGGGTGGGGGCACTTGGCACTATTTAATACACATATTTTGATGTTTGTTTTGTACAAACGATACATAATATACATGATGAGACATTATACAACTGCGCAGAACATATCATGATTACTCTTACCTATTGAAATAGATTACCCTGTGCGATAAAATAAAATAAAATAATGTGTTTACATTGTATTCATTTGTAGGATGATGATTTAAAATATATTTAAATTCTCCAGGAAAAATTTGTCACCGACACCACGAAGTAACACCGATCTACATACCAGTAAAAACTAGCAATCGGAGAAAACGGCAACTAAAGTTGAACGCCTTCTAAAACAACACTTTGCGTCAAAACGACAGAGTATTTTCTGTTGGGTTTCTTTTTGTGGACACTAGATGAATTGAATTTATTAAATCTGCTGTTTTTCACCCGTTTGTGTATTAAATAAACAAGAAATAAGAGAAAAAAGATGAGTGTTAGTTCGTGAAACCGAAAAGGCTGCGAAAATGAAAATTTTCGTTTTCACGAAGTAACACTCTTCAATGTATTCAACACGGGAAAAGTGCAACATCAGGTGAGCGCACGCTCATGCAACTTGTTACAAGAAGAGTGTTACTTCGTGAAAACGTTTTTGCTCACTTATGAGCAGAGTGCGCAATGGTAAATGGAACTTGAGTGTTACTTCGTGAAAACGAAAATTGTCACTTTTGCGCAAAATTTGCCATGGATACTTAGCGTAATTATTGAAGTAAAGCTCTTGAAGCTTTGAAACTTCTTGCAATGGTAGGCCTTGATGAATAATGTTTAAAAATCCAAAAAACTGAAAATTGAAAAAATATGGTTTAACACAGTAAAATGTTACTTCGTGGTGTCGGTGACGAATTATGTGGTGGTCTATAATTATTGTTGATGAAAATCTATTCCTATTTTATCAAATTTGTGTTGTAGAATAAAATAGATCTTTCAAAGAATTTCTGGGCATTCGTTTTTCATTCAGCCCGCCAGCCAGCCGGCCTCCCTGCCTCCCCACCAGCCAGCCAGCCATTCAGCAAGAAGGTAGGACTAAGCATGTGGTTAAAGTCATTGATTAAACTTAAGGCTTACCCCTTACTACATGTATATTGAATATTTAATAATAATCGGCATTTAAGAACGCTCTTTTTAGTAAACTAAATCACAGCACTCACAGTTTTATTATTACCCCTGATCATTGGGCCAATTAAACATTCCAATTATCATCTCAGCTCCCTGGGGAGTATACAGCTCGATGCTGCCTGTTAGGCGCAAGCAAGCTTATTCAATCAGAAGAGCCATCTCTGCCCTCACAGGTACCCATTTACTCCTGGGTGGAGAGAAGCAATGAGTGACAAAGTGCCTTGCTCAAGGGCACACGCACCATGACCCGGCTGGACTTGAACCCACAACCCGCAGCTTTACCGACAGACCACGAATCCAATAACCATGAGGCCACAGCACTCCTGAAAAACTAACTTTTTGTCCACTTTTGATAAAAATGAAGAAAAAAATATTAATTGTGACTTTCTCCTATTTAATAAAAATGCAAGGCTCACCCCTAACTATTCTAAATTACCATTTTGTATTTGTGATAAAAATTTAACTTTTGCCCAATGTTGATAAAAATGCAAGGCTAACTCTTTACCGTTTTGAATTTTGGACAAAAATTGTTTTCGTCCCATTTAGGGCTTCCTCCTTACTTGTTTGAGTTTAGAATAAAAAAAAGTGTTTCCTCTGAATTTAATTGAAATGCAAAGCTAACTCCTTACTGTCATAAAATTGAAATAAAAACTTACCTTCCCTCACATTTTTATAAAAATGAAAAAGGCTTACCCCTTACCATTTTGAATTTGGGATAAAAATGTGTTTTTTGTCCACTTATCGTTTTAAATTTGTGATAAAAAGTTTAACATTTGCCCCAGTTTGATAAGAATGCAAGGCTAGCCCCTTACCGTTTCGAATTTTGGTTAAACATTTGTTTTCGTACCTTTTTGATAAAAATGCAAGGATAACCTCTTACCATTTCAAAATTTTGTTAAACATTTGTTTTCGTTCCTTTTAAATAAAAATGCAAGGCTAACCCCTTTACCATTTGGAATTTTGGTTAAAAATGTGTTTCCGTCTCTTGATAAAAATGCAAGGCTAATCCTTTACCGTTTGAAATTTGTGATAAAAAGTATACTTTTGTCCCAGTTTGAATAAGAATACATTGCTAGCCCCTTACCATTTTGAATTTTAAATTAAAAAAAATATTTTCACCTTTTTGATAAATATGCAAGGCTAACCCCTTTACCATTTGGAATCTTGGTTAAAAATATGTTTTCTTCCCTTTTTGATAAAAATGCAAGGCTAACCCCTTACCCTTTGAAATTTTGATTAAAAACGTGTTTTTGTCTCTTGATAAAAATGCAAGGCTAATTCCTTACCGTTTGGAATTTGTGATAAAAACTTTACCTTTCTCCCACTTTGATAAAAATGAAAGGTTAACCCCTAACTGTTTTGAATATTGGGTAAAAATGTGTTTTCTTTGAATTTTGATAAACACACAATGCTAACCTGGTACCGTTTTGAATTTTGGATTAAAAAGAAAAGTGATTCGTCCCCATAAGACATGAAAATGCAAGGTAAACTCTGTACCGTTTAAAATTTCTGATAAAAAGTTTTGCCCCATTTAAAAAAAATTGCAAGGCTTGTACCCATTCCCGGTTTGAATTTTGAATATGCATTTTTTTTTTCCTTTTTGAAAAAAAATGCAAGGCTAACCCCATACTGTCTGTAAGAGTTGAGCCAGATGAAATTGTACATTCATTCCTTATGCACAAAGTTCCCCAGTTTTGCTTGTTGTAGCAAAAGTTTGTTGCACTTGATTTTTTTTTTCTGGCTGTATTTCTGCAAGTGTTGAATATTCAATGAGGGCTAAGAAGTCCTTAATTTGCATTTGAAGTAACATCTAGGGCTGTAGAATTTGGACCATGCAGCAAAGACTCCAGAGGGTAGTACACACAATGAGATTGGAATGTAGACAATTATTGGGTGGGGCCTTTTGTAGTTCCATGTGTGCATTGGGGTGTGAAGCAGTGGTGTGTACATCAGGGTGCCTTGCACATCTACCCATTCAGTTGTGTGGCTGCCTATTGCTGTTGCAACATTCGCTAGTGGTCAAGCTCTGTCCAGTTCTAGCAAGCGCACTGCATTTCCATCAGAGCTTTGGGTTTTGCCAAAATGTGTGTTATCTAGTTCTGCTTGCTACACAAGTATTGGTCTTCAGACTCCTCAGTTTGACTCTGTGACTGGTGATGGACTGCAGGCAACGATGGAGGCAACATATCTGTCCATGTACGTGTAAGAAAAGAATTGTGTTTTTCCTTATTTAATGTACATTCAGAGTGCATTTTGAAATATAGGTCTCGTTCAAATGATGTCATTTCCTACAGACCATCCACGTGCATCGGCTTTTTGAGCGTCAACTTACATAACGCGCATCGTCTGCGTCATATTTCGAACACATTTCAAGCAACAAGCGCGTGTGTTTGGAACAAATTCAACACTGGGCAATGCGTGCTTGTTTATGTAAACTACGCAGTTGCAGTCCTCCTATAGAGATGGCCGTCATTGAACGAGCCCTATTCAATTCAATGATGAACAGAGTTGGTTGATTACATGTGGGGTGCTGTGGTCCAATGGTTACGGTGTTCGACTTGTGTGCCGTGGTACATGGGTTCGAATCCTGACTGTGGGAACATGGTGCTTGTGCTCTTGAGCAAGGCACTTTACCATTATTGCTTCGTCCTTCGGATGGGACGTAAAGCCATAGGTCCCGTGTGTTGTGTAATGCACGTTAAAGAACCCAGTAACACTTATCGCTAAGAGAAGGGGTTTGCCCCGGTGTTTCTGGCAGTGGCTGCAATATGCACCGCTGCACCTTGTAAACCCTTACAAGGTGCTAAATAATGGGTCTCATATTTCTCATAAACTTTATTTACCTTTCTTTAATAGAGACATATTTTCCAGCGCCTTGAGTACCTAAATGTTGGTAGATACGTGCGCTATATAAGACTCCGATATTATTATTATTATTGTTGATTAGTATCCGACATTATTATTTAAAAGTGTATACTTACAATGTATCATGCTTACATGTGACTGGTGTGTACAAATGCACAACTGATGTTTAAGTTGGATCTATTTATTTTTCAGAGTCTCCTTAATGAGTGGCGGTTAACTACAAGGTGGCTGTGCGGTTGACTACCGGATGTGTCTCGTCTCAGTACATGGATGGTGGAGACGCTCTGTAAGCTGACGTGTGTATGGCTAATGGTTGATGTGGGCGTGGCTTCTTTGCTTGTGGGCGTGGCTACTCTGTGTGCGTTTACAGTTAAGCAGGTTCTGCACATCCAAAGTGGACACAAGAGCCGATGCAAGATAGCAGATTGAACATTTGATGCAAGATAGCAGATTGAACATTTGATGCACGATAGCAGATTGAACATTTGATGCAAGGTAGCAGATTGAACATTTGATGCATGATAGCAGATTGAACATTTGATGCACGATAGCAGATTGAACATTTGATGCACGATAGCAGATTGAACATTTGATGCAAGGTAGCAGATTGAACATTTGATGCAAGGTAGCAGATTGAACATTTGATGCATGATAGCAGATTGAACATTTGATGCAAGGTAGCAGATTGAACATTTGATGCACGATAGCAGATTGAACATTTGATGCACGATAGCAGATTGAACATTTGATGCAAGGTAGCAGATTGAACATTTGATGCACGATTGAACATTTGATGCAAGATAGCAGATTGAACATTTGATGCAAGATAGCAGATTGAACATTTGATGCAAGACAGCAGATTGAACATTTGATGCACGATAGCAGATTGAACATTTGATGCACGATAGCCGATTGAACATTTGATGCAAGATAGCCGATTGAACATTTGATGCAAGATAGCAGATTGAACATTTGATGCAAGATAGCAGATTGAACATTTGATGCAAGATAGCAGATTGAACATTTGATGCAAGATAGCAGATTGAACATTTGATGCATGGTAGCAGATTGAACATTTGATGCAAGGTAGCAGATTGAACATTTGATGCACGATAGCAGATTGAACATTTGATGCACGATAGCAGATTGAACATTTGATGCAAGGTAGCAGATTGAACATTTGATGCACGATTGAACATTTGATGCAAGATAGCAGATTGAACATTTGATGCAAGATAGCAGATTGAACATTTGATGCAAGATAGCAGATTGAACATTTGATGCACGATAGCAGATTGAACATTTGATGCAAGATAGCAGATTGAACATTTGATGCACGATAGCCGATTGAACATTTGATGCAAGATAGCAGATTGAACATTTGATGCAAGATAGCAGATTGAACATTTGATGCAAGATAGCAGATTGAACATTTGATGCACGATAGCAGATTGAACATTTGATGCACATTGAACATTTGATGCACGATAGCAGATTGAACATTTGATGCACGATAGCAGATTGAACATTTGATGCAAGATAGCAGATTGAACATTTGATGCAAGATAGCAGATTGAATACATGTATGCTTTACTTTATGTTAGTTGCGTAATTTGGAGTGTTTTGCCTTATTGTAATATTTTGCCTGTGTGACAAATTCGATAGCTAAGCCTTGGTGGCAAAATTGGATATTTGGGTGAGATTTGCCTTGGTGGCAATTTTAATTGGATTGTGCCTTGGTGGACCTTTCTGGCCAAGTACAATGAATTTCATTGGTGCGTTAGTTTATATTTGGTTTTCATTGGTTTATTAATGGTGCTTAGTTGATTGCAAATTTGGTTCACCTGTTATGTCTTTTAAACACGGAGAAGAAAATTGTAACAGACATTTAAATATCAAGGAGAACTGTAACTGAATGTAAATCACTGTTTTTGGCAGTGTCAATTTGTAGAGATGAATTGGACACTTGATTTTAGCCGAGTATGTTTGCTGACAGTTTTCACACTATTTTGAATAAAGAATACACATTGTTTTTGTCCTTTTGAATGTTGAAAATTTGTTGGTTTTTGGTCGTTTTGTGATAAAATGATATAGAAACATTTTGATTTTTGGATGAAAATTTGTTGGTTATTTGCTAACCCCTTAACTGTTTGAATTTTGGCTAAACATTTGTTAACCTGTAACCATTATGAAATTGTGATAATAATTTAGATTTTTCTACAATCTGATAAAAATGTGTTATCCCTTGCTATTTTGAGTTTGTGATAAGAACTGAAATGTTGCCCCATTTAAATAAAAATACAAGGCCTACTCCTTACTTTGTTAAAATTAGGATACAAATTGGGTTGTTTTTTTTAAATCCTATTTGATAAAAATGCTAGGCTATAATCTGTGACTGTTTGGAAATTTGAATCAAAATGCCCTTGCCATTTTAAATGTGTGATAAAAACTTAACTTTTGCACCATGTTGATAAAAATGCAAGGCTAAACCCTTTTTGATAAAAATGCTAGGCTATAACCTGTGAGTGTTTTGAAATTTGAAACAAAATGCCCCTACCATTTTAAATGTGTGATAAAAACTTAACATTTGCGACGTGTTGATACAAATGCAAGGCTAAACCCCTTACTGTTCTGAATGTTGGAAAAAAGTTTGTGATAAAAATTTAATTTGTAAGATAAAAACTTAACTTTTACCCCATTTGGATAACACTGCATAAAAATTTGAATATTTGATAAAAAAAAAGTTGTTTCAGTCCCTTTTTAATAAAAATGCAAAGCTAGCCCTTCACCTTTTTGACTTTGTGATAAAAAGTTTACAAATTAATGTTTGCCCCATTTTGATAAAAATGCTGACCTGGTACTGATTTGGTTATCCCATGCATACTTTTTGTGTTTTATTTGAGTAAAATTTAAGAAAAGCCATGAATTTTCATAGAAATTTTGATAAAAATGCATGGATAACCCCTCAACTGTTTGAATTTTGGGTAAACATTTTATTAACCATTTTAAATTTCCAATAAAAATGCAATGTTGGCCTGTTTAAATAAAAATGCAATGTTGGCCTGTTTAAATAAAAATGCAAGGCTTTCCTCTTACCATGTTAAAATTAGGATAAAAATAACTTCTTTTTTTAAACCCTTTTTGATAAAAATTCAAGGCTAACCCCTAAACGGTTTGAATTTTGGCCAAACATTTTGTTATAAATTTGTGATAAAAAGTTAACTTTTGTGCCATGTTGATAAAAATGCACGGCAAATCTTGCCGTTTTGAATTTGTGATAAAGAAATGAAATTTTGCCCCGTTTAAATAAAAATGCAAGACTTTCCCTTACCCGTGTTAAAATTAGGATAAAAATTGGGGTGTTTTTAACTCTTTTTGATAAAAATGCAAGGCTAACCACAGAAAACTTTTGCGAGGAAAACTAAATTTTAACCCTGTTTGGATAAAACAGAATAAAAAACTGGGAATAGAAATATTCCCAATATATTTTTTTTTTAAAAACAAAAATCAATCTAAGGTTTATATATTAGTTTTGAGGTATTCTTTCATGGTTGTGTTTGGCAAGTAGTGAGAACACTCGTCTCCAAATTGAGAGGTTCTGGGTTCAAATCCCAGGGTGGTCATTTTAGTTTAATTTTAGAAATAGAAACCTATGAGTTAAGTTTATAAGAAACGTATTTGTACCGGGGGACCCGGATTGTGTAGCGGTTAGGTGTTGTGACTGGGAAGCGGTGGGTCCCCGGATCAAGTCCAGCCCGGCGTCATCCCCCTCCCCCAGCTGTGCCACACCCCCGTCCTGCTCCCTCCAGCAAGCCACCTGGCCCAGCCTCCCTCCCCCCCCCCAGAAACCTGCCTGGTCCAAGCCCCTCCCCTCCAACGGCCAAGCTTGGGTCCGAAATTTTGGGTCCGAAATTTTGGGTCCGAAATTTTGGGTCCGAAATTTTGGGTCCGAAATTTTGGGTCCGAAATTTTGGGTCCGAAATTTTGGGTCCGAAATTTTGGGTCCGAAATTTTGGGTCCGAAATTTTGGGTCCGAAATTTTGGGTCCGAAATTTTGGGTCCGAAATTTTGGGTCCGAAATTTTGGGTCCGAAATTTTGGGTCCGAAATTTTGGGTCCGAAATTTTGGGTCCGAAATTTTGGGTCCGAAATTTTGGGTCCGAAATTTTGGGTCCGAAATTTTGGGTCCGAAATTTTGGGTCCGAAATTTTGGGTCCGAAATTTTGGGTCCGAAATTTTGGGTCCGAAATTTTGGGTCCGAAATTTTGGGTCCGAAATTTTGGGTCCGAAATTTTGGGTCCGAAATTTTGGGTCCGAAATTTTGGGTCCGAAATTTTGGGTCCGAAATTTTGGGTCCGAAATTTTGGGTCCGAAATTTTGGGTCCGAAATTTTGGGTCCGAAATTTTGGGTCCGAAATTTTGGGTCCGAAATTTTGGGTCCGAAATTTTGGGTCCGAAATTTTGGGTCCGAAATTTTGGGTCCGAAATTTTGGGTCCGAAATTTTGGGTCCGAAATTTTGGGTCCGAAATTTTGGGTCCGAAATTTTGGGTCCGAAATTTTGGGTCCGAAATTTTGGGTCCGAAATTTTGGGTCCGAAATTTTGGGTCCGAAATTTTGGGTCCGAAATTTTGGGTCCGAAATTTTGGGTCCGAAATTTTGGGTCCGAAATTTTGGGTCCGAAATTTTGGGTCCGAAATTTTGGGTCCGAAATTTTGGGTCCGAAATTTTGGGTCCGAAATTTTGGGTCCGAAATTTTGGGTCCGAAATTTTGGGTCCGAAATTTTGGGTCCGAAATTTTGGGTCCGAAATTTTGGGTCCGAAATTTTGGGTCCGAAATTTTGGGTCCGAAATTTTGGGTCCGAAATTTTGGGTCCGAAATTTTGGGTCCGAAATTTTGGGTCCGAAATTTTGGGTCCGAAATTTTGGGTCCGAAATTTTGGGTCCGAAATTTTGGGTCCGAAATTTTGGGTCCGAAATTTTGGGTCCGAAATTTTGGGTCCGAAATTTTGGGTCCGAAATTTTGGGTCCGAAATTTTGGGTCCGAAATTTTGGGTCCGAAATTTTGGGTCCGAAATTTTGGGTCCGAAATTTTGGGTCCGAAATTTTGGGTCCGAAATTTTGGGTCCGAAATTTTGGGTCCGAAATTTTGGGTCCGAAATTTTGGGTCCGAAATTTTGGGTCCGAAATTTTGGGTCCGAAATTTTGGGTCCGAAATTTTGGGTCCGAAATTTTGGGTCCGAAATTTTGGGTCCGAAATTTTGGGTCCGAAATTTTGGGTCCGAAATTTTGGGTCCGAAATTTTGGGTCCGAAATTTTGGGTCCGAAATTTTGGGTCCGAAATTTTGGGTCCGAAATTTTGGGTCCGAAATTTTGGGTCCGAAATTTTGGGTCCGAAATTTTGGGTCCGAAATTTTGGGTCCGAAATTTTGGGTCCGAAATTTTGGGTCCGAAATTTTGGGTCCGAAATTTTGGGTCCGAAATTTTGGGTC